TGAAGATAAAAGTTGCCTCTAACTTCATAAACCTTGTTCTTTGCAATGCATAGACGTTACTTAAGGACTTTCAGCTCTTATTATATCAACATCTCTCTAACCAAAGCAGATAGAATGGGTTGCATAGTACCAGTGACAAGTTTGGAACAAGGCAGCCCCAGGAGCTGAATCCCTTCAATGAGTTGAAACTTTTACTGCCTAACTGGGCTTTGTTTAGCATCCAAGAAGGTAGGTTAAAAAAGAAATACTTATCTCTAAATAAAACTAATCTTTCATAAAAAAAAACAAGAAAAAAAGAGATGTAGGCAAACCAAAAGTTACAAAAAAACAAAACAAACAAAAACAACATCTTTCCAATTGTGTGTGTGTGTGTGTGTGTATTTGTTAATATACAAAGAAATACACACTGTATAATGGAGGGATGAAAACATTCTGTTTGTTCAGGAAAGCTTATTTAAAGACATAAATGCAACAAATTTTGGTACTGTCTGGACCAGACTTAAATGACATGTCTGCTGCTTCATTTAACCTGTACTTTTCCAAGGTTAAGTTGGATAAAGACAGGGCTCCAGTTCTCAATTAGGTGATGAAATTGATAAAATAGAAAGGTGAAAACACAGCCACCTCAAATGGCACAGCTGCACCACCTGTTGGTTAAAAAGTTGCTCTGCGCATGCTTATTGAGTGTTGGAGGAGGTGAGTTTCTTGTTCCAACCCCTTGTTTAATCCGGCCTTTCCCTTGACCCCGGCACAAATATGATGTACCAGCTTGAATCCCATAATGGTCTTGATAGATAACTATTCACACTCAGCCTGGTTCTGATAAGTTTTATTTTTGTTCATATATATATTTTTTTTTACCTCTCTTTCAACATGCATGCATAGTATAATGAACATTAAGGACATAAAGCAAAGAAATGTCCACTGCTGTTCTTTCAGAAGGACTGAATGCTCCAGTTAATGATCTCATGCAATTGGGTTTCCTTAAAGTACTTTTTAAACATTCTGATTTGACTGAATAGACTTTATAAAGACGTTTTACAGTAAATGACATGATGAGAATTGACACCATATAAATATTCTGAATTAAACTGAATTAACTTTGCTTGTTGCCTAAAGTTTTAGTTTCTCCACTGGAAACCGAAGGCAAGTAAGGCCAAAAAAGCTTTTATTAGACAGAGCAATCCAGCCGGTTGGCACCAACTGAGACATAGGATCTTGTTGACATGAGGAGTCAACAGCAGGTAAAACAGAGGAGTGGGATTTTTTGCAAATTAGGAATGACTTTAGGACAAGTATAATAAAATATTGGTAGATAGACTATAAGCTTTAAGATAATGCTAATATAGAGAGCTTACAATGTGATCCTTTCTCATGCTTACCAGGAAGTAAAAGCACACGTATGGGAACTACGGATCCAAGAATTAATTGAATTAATCTTCACACTGTCACTCTGTGTGGAGTTTATGAGAACGAAATATGATCTAAGCTTGTGTATAGATTACAGACTATAGAACAGGAGACACCAACACAGTGCCCGGTCGACCCTACAGATCGTTTGAGTCGCCTGCTAGGCCTGTTAAAAAATAGCACAATTCACTCCTGAGCTGCGTCATTTCAGTATTGTGCATGGCAGTCAGTCGTCATGGAGAGTACACTCGTGGACACAGTGAATGTGATTGGTTAATGCAGTTTCCACACCCTAAAATGACTGAAAAAAAGAAAACTTACTGTATCTTTTTCACAGTGTCTGTGAGCTAAAGGCAGCTTTGGGTAAACAACAGACTTTCTTAACAAAATGGATAAAAATTCACAAAAAACATAAAAAGCCTAGTTTGAGCAACATATTTTCTGATAAAGAAGAAGAGTGGAGATCAGAATCAATCTGATCTCCACTCTTCTCCAGCTAAGGGTATCTACAGTACGATTTCTAGTAACTTGGCTAATCAGCTGGATCAGGATCTGGCTAAGTGTAGGTGGCATCAAGTGTGAGAAGTCCGTAGACAGCAGCAGTATAATGCAGTTGTTTTATCCTGATGATCTTTTTTTCCACAATGAGGAACTCCTGACATCACTCCCCTTAAAGACAACCGTAAGGCAAGTTGACATTTATAAAACAGTGAAGGAGTTTTTCATACAGAGAAAGATAACAATGGAAATGCTCGCAGCCGTGAATACAGACAGAGTTCATGCTATAATCGGCCAACATACAGGTTTCATCACTCACTGTCAAGGTGACTCAGCCTTTCAAGAATGTCCACATTATCATTGTGTCATTCACTAGAAGGCATTATGTGCAAATGATATCGGCTTTGAGAATGTAATGACTCCAATTGTAAAAAATAATAAACAGCATCGAATCTAAAGACAAACAGCACAGGATTTTCAAGGTGCTGTTGGAGGTGCTGTCAGCATAACATGGTGATCTCCTGCTACACACCAAAATCTGATGGCTCAGCAGATGATGAGAGTTCTTTGCTTTTTTCTTACTTTTGGGTGAAATCAAAGAGTTCTTGCACCCCAGAGGTGAAGATATCTCACTCCTGGAGGACACAGAGTGGACACTTGACCTTACATTTTTGAAGGACATTATACCGGGAAACGAAATCAGTTGAGCTGCGAGCTGCAAGGCAAACATCAACATGTTGTTTATATGATGCATGCTTTAAATTAATTTAAAGCCAAGATAAACATTTTCATATGTAACCTAGAGAGAAAAAAGGTGGTGCACTATCCCTCTGTGCAGTCAGTGCAGAAAGACAACGCGTCTACATCTGAGACATTTGAAATAGTTGCAGAAAAGTTCTGTATGGTCATAAAAGACTTGGGCAGGAGTGTAAATAGGTTAAAAAGCCTTGATCAGCTTGAGCCATGTGTGTCATTTATTTCCAATCCTTTCATGAATATAGACAAAACATGATATGCTAAGCAACTTAGTGCAGTGCTGCTGGATAGGTGAAGATGGAAATCATAACATTGTCTCAAAGCCCACAAGGCTGCACCAAACACCAAGTCTCCAGCAGAATAAAGGGACCTTCACAAGCTAACTTTTATTCTTACATCAGGCCATCATGCTTACTGTCTTTATTTATTAAAAAAACAACAAAAAATATTTGTCCTCAGTTGTATCAGTGGACTAGTTTACAGTACATAATAGTTTGAGTTCTATGAGGACAATAGTTGAGGTTACATGGCATGTCATTGAAATGAGTAATATCTTGGGCAATCTAACTAAGACTTTAAGGAAATTTACCTTTCAGTGCTAACACACTGTAGACATTTCTGCATGACAGACATGAGACACTCTCCTTCTGGGTAACCTAAAAGGGCTGACATGTGACATGGGTTAATGAAGATGACCCAAACCTCTCTAATGTGGTAGTATTTGTTAAAATATGCAGGTATTTGCTACCATTGTAAGGATGCTTCCTCTGTTTTATCAAAAACCTTGAAGGAAATGTTGGTGGGGGACCATTTATAGTTACTTTTTGTGGGTTAAGGTGAATTTAAAAATATTTTGTGAAATATTGTTTCCTATGTTTAACTTGGTGTTGTGTAACCTCTCTCCCATAGGCTGCCAGAGATCCACCCTGATCCTGACCAGGACTAAGTGGGAGAAAATGGATCAATGTTTGCCTATGTATCCTAATTAGATTTCAAATGTCCAGTATTGTTGTTTTTGCTCAAGCACAGATACCAGAGATAGGCAAAAGGTTGAGATAGGCTGATACCAGACAGAACAACTCCAGAAAATATGTGAAATCGGGCATATATTGTTATATATAGAATGACTCCCATTCCAAATGGATGGACCCCTTTGTCTGTTCCAATTTGCATGTTTTCAAAAAAAAAGAGGCCCTGAGGGACTACTGTATAAAATGTCGAACTCTATGCTATTCCTGACATTTTGAATTGAAAAAGCTTCCTGGATGGGAAGCAAAATGTATTCAAACTTGGAGATAAAGTCCAGTGGATTGTTTTTAATTTTCTTTTTTGGAATACTATAACCTGGATGACTGAGAACCTTCAGCTGCATATTTTCATAATTACAAATTGTGGAATTTTATGTTTTATTGAAAAGCAGTTACTGATTATCTGTATCCCTATATAGGCCCACTGACTGATTACATGATTGTTGACACCTGTGATGCTAATTAGTGGACATTCCGAGATTTAACATCTACCTTTGTTCGCATTGTTTTAATCTTCTCTCGGGCTACCATCCCTTTTATCCAGACCTATGTCATAAGTTAATTTTTTTAAATCATTCTATTGAATTGTGGTTCAAAAGCAAAGCTTGACTCTCATTTGTTCTTTTCATAGAAAGTTTTTTTTAATCTGTTTTATCGTTTTTTTCTTTAATTAAACAAGGGGTGCAAACAATTTTCTCCAAATGTGTAGAAAACTTATAGATTGTTAATCACTAACAATACAATGTTATTTTGAACCCAAGACCAAATACAAAGTTATCTGAATCAACATCATTTACAAAAATGTTTTGTAGATTCTTGAGGCTGGATCAGGAGATCCCATATTGTAAAAAAAAAAAATAAAAATTGGCTCAGGCTGTTGAAGTGATTTGTTGTTGCAAATTGACATTTAAATAAAAACATAAAGAAGGAAATCAGGGTTCTAGATGGGTGTATACACAGCAATCACTTTATGGTACATTAAATCTATGGCGTCATGATTGACATTTCAGTATTTAGAAGCTGGTCCTGTAGTGTAGAGATATAAAACAAAGTGTCCCCACTCTGATGTAGGCCAGACAAATGGCTATAATGAAGTATGGAGATTTGATAAGAAAACCTGTTTCTTAATTATATTATTTTCTTTTTATTTTTAGTTTATTGCCAAAGGTAAAATATATATTACAGGTAATTTACAATATGATAAACAAAACGTGTGGAGGATTCGCTCATAAAATGGGTTCAACATGCATTTTACGTCGGTACATTAAAGAGACTTACAATAGAGTGAAATTAGTTTTCCCTTTTTATTCCCCTTTCAATAACAAAAGGGGTGAAAGATGGTGTTTTAGATTTTACTGCACAATGGCTCATAAGCATGGTTTCAGTCAGTTTGAGTTATACTGTACTTTTTCTCGCTACCAATAGAGGTACAGCTAAAATATATTGTTAATTCATCAGTTAGTCTCTTGAATACAGATCCAACAATAATATAAGGGTGTCCATAAGTATTTCAATTCTTAAATTCTTATATTTCATTTTTCTTGACATTCTTCCAGAATCTTTTTATCTTTGGGGAGCCCCAGAAAATGGTCTCTAACCATTCCACACATTCTCCAGCTTTTATCTGCAGCTGTTTTTATCATAAATGATTTTAATAATGTTTTAAGAAATCTTACTTTTTTTCCCATCAGAACTCCCTTTAATTTTGGCAAACAAACAAACAACAAACAAAAACTTTAATCCCAGCTTCAGACATAAACACACATGTTACATTTGAAACTCAATACAGAAAAACAAACAAAAAACAATAAATATTTGTCATCAAAGAAAGGGTTACTTACCTGTCATTGAGTAATTTCCTACTTTATCAGGTCCATTAAACCTTTGACCGCCTTTAGTACGTATTAAAACAATAAGGCAGGCATCTGAAGTTGACAACATAATTAATTTTAAACAAACACTACACTAACACAGACACTAAGCTGTACAGTTTAGCTACAGCCCCTAAACTTAAAAATACAAAAAGACCAAATTAATAAACATTGAAGAAAAGTGAGGTTGATTGTAAAGCTGCAGGGATGCAAATACATTACAGTAATACGGACTGAAAATGTATGGTAGCACAACATTGTCAAAAATGTATTCTAAAGATTTCCTGCAGCAAGCAGAGTTCAAATCCAACGTTAAGATATACTCTAAATAAGTAATAAAACATCTAACTGTCTGACAATATATTACAAAACCTTAACCTTTTAGGGTTATGATAACCATAATGAGTAAGTTAGCTTTTGTTTTTAAGTAAATTTAATAATGGTACTTTTGGCCAACAGTTTAGTATTGGTTACATGATAAAACAAAATATTAAACTAGAAAATATAGCTTTTGTCTTTTTGTAATACTTCAAACTGTAACCATACTTTTTGTTTTACTTTAAGAGAGAAGACTTCCTCTTCTCCAAATGTCTTTCAATGTGCCTTGGTTAAAAAAAAAAAAGTCAGTTGTCAGTGGACAATGGCTGTCTCCTATCAGCTGCAGGCAGAATCTTAGATTAGGTTTAAGTGATGTGTATTGGAATTCAGTCAAACCTGAGTAACAAATTTGATGACTCCAGCATTTACTTCACAGCATAAAAAAAAAAAAAACTTTACTTCAACTCGAAAAAAATCCTTGATTTCTTCAGTTTGTTCTGTTACAATGGAACCACACCCTCGGTGAAATTATGTAACTGTGCGTGCTATACTGTCCTATTTGCCCCTCTGGCTATTTACTATGTCGCTTCAACATACAGCTTAAATTGTCTCTGTGGTTTAGTTGACTTTTTTCTGCATCCTACATTGCAAACCAAAGAAGCCAGCAGTAGTGCAGAAACACAATCAACAAGTGCTGTCAGAAAAACAAAATCTGGGAATATTCTAACCCAAAGGCAGTGAAGGTTATACCTCATAATGTGGCTTTGCTCAGCAGGTAAAAACTGAAGAATTGGGATTTAAGGTGTCTTATATACAGAAAAGTGGTCTTATGCACATTGAGGTATGAGGAATTGGGGTATGATCTGTTGATGTGCAAATACACTCTTATTATTCAATAATAATTATTGAATAATAATTGTTTAACATTATATAATTACTATGTCTACCAGTATAGTGTAGCATTGACTGTCTGATAGTAGATTTGGCCAGATAAACTGTTTTGGGATATAACAGAGCTTGGAATTGACACATAGACTTACTTAAGACTTGCACCCCAATGACTCACCTCATTTCTTCCCAAACATTTTGATGGCTGGTGTTTATACTTGCTAAGGAACCTTTGTATACAACAAAGATGCCCCTTCAGGAGACTAATAATTATACTCAAAGATGGAGTATACATGAGTACGTTGGGGGATTTCTTCTTACTTTGCTGTGATATCACAAAATTAAACAATATGTTTAAGGTGTCTCATTAAGTAAAGCTTTTTAGATAATCTTATTACAGTTTTGCAAAGGTGTAATCTGGGCTTCATTGTTTAAAAGCAAAGTACTGAATATAAAAAGCCATAAATAATGAAAAAAGATTACTTCATGTTCATTCATGTCAGACAAAAACATAAATGAGTGTATTATGCTTTACAGACAATAGACAAAAACACCAGGTTGGAATTGTATGTTGTAATGTGTAGATTTTTATGGCAAGTGCAATAACTGCTGCAGAAATGCTCTATAGGATCTACCCTTTGGTGGAGCCTTCATGCATAGACTGTGCATATTCTTTCTGTTCTTACAGGAGTCTGAGTGTGTCCCTACTTGTTTTATCTATCTGGTGTGTCCCTGGCTTGCTCATTGGCCACTAGAGATAGGCATCAGTCCCCCTCTGATCTAAACAGGATTAAACGGGTACAGAAAATGGGTCGATTTCCCCTGTGTTGGAGATAAAGCCAGACAGTGAAAGAGTACTGGAGAGGTAAAAACATTTATTTTGTCACATTTTCCTATACAAAAGCCCTTTTCAAAAGGTTTTACTTCATACATTGCAGGAATTACAATAATATTAAAAAATAATAGACTGCTTAATTGTGAAGTTATACACACAATACATATAATGGATTTAACATCCAAAATAAATTGCATATATGAAGAAGTAACACGTATCCCTCTTCACTTATAATGCTTATGAAACAAGAAGGTAGAGGGCACATTACCATAATTTCTTTATGCTACAGTTGAAATGTTCCCTTTTAATTTGTTCTCTTAAAGCTATACATCTGCAAATAAGATGGATGTAAATATTAATACTGTATGAATGAGTATCAAACACCTGAAAATCTTACAAACACAGAGTTAGCCATGGATTTCTTGTATAAAAAGGCAATGGAATTGCTTCATCAGATTATTGCCTGAATACAGAGTACAGGAATAATCTCTATCAGATTATGAGTTAAGCAGGCATTTGTGGTTTTAGGAATACAAAAAATAATATACAGATATATTTTTTTGACACTTACAGGCACTTAAGATGTTACAACTGGATTTCAGAAAATAACATCTGTGTGAAAACAACAACAAAAATGTTTAACTGCATTGCCCAAATGTACAGATATAAAAATACTTAAAATGCTCAATATACTACTAGCAGGAATGGACTCAAAAAGTTTGCATTTTTGACCGAGGTCAACTCGTATTAACTCTCTTGGCTTTTTATACTGTGTCATATATGAAAATAACTCTGCATAATTTATACAGTAAGTTGCTTTAATGCCTAGTTGACTGATGTTTATAAAATACTAAAAAATAGGTCTGACAAACGCACAGCGTTTGCGAATCTGAGGATTTCTTTGTTTCATCTCGTCATACTTCATTGGTTTTTGTTCTCGGAAAAAAAAAAAAAAAAGATTTTCAAGTGTCTATTTTCAGTGACTTTTTCATAATTTCTGAAATTGACAGTTGAAAAAATGATTATGGTTGTAATTTTGACGCACTTTTACATGACAATGTTTGAAATTCTGACTTGAGATTCGTTTGCATTTTGCTAGGCTTAAAGATCAGTGAGACATTTATGACCAAACATGCAGCTCTCAAGCTAAGATCAATCCTTGGAAGAAAAAAGGAAGAAAAAAACACTCCAACATAGTTTCTGTTAGTGAGAATTATATGATTCATCGCTTCTCTGCACCAACCTGTGCCATACTGGTTGGCCTAGAGATACAAGAAAGAACTTGGCAGATTCTATTGTTAGAAAATACTTTAAATAAAAATGGTTGATTTTTTTCATAAACATTTATTTTTCTTTGGAAATTTAGTTGTGCAATGGTAGTTGATAATGATGGTATCATATGGATGAGCAGTTGGAGCCTAACCCTACCTCTGTAAGGACTTACTGCTATGTTTTCCAGCACCTTTTTAAAACATGATGAAGAATTAATGCCATTTGGACAGAAAAACAACAGCCCCTAAAATGAAGGCTAACACAGCCCCGAAAAAGAACTACATACTCTAAAATTACTATCATGTTTCATGGCAATATGTGGACATGCATCATCAGGTTTCTTAAAAAAACACATCTGACATATTTTGATTAAGGCAAAGGCCTTTTCTTTTGAGTGTTATTCACAAGCCAGAAGACATTCACATTAATACTGATATGGTCGAGCAAAATAGCCTGGCTGAGAGAAAGAAACAAGGCAAACACTTAGCTTAGTGTGTACTGTAGCCTTCCAAAAAATAAAGAAAAAAACAAAACAAAACAAAAATAGAGATATACATTTGAACTGGGCAGGAACTATATTTGCAAATCACCCCTAATAAATCTTGACTTATCTTCCACAACACAATTGATTTAACTCTATGTTTAAGGTGTGCTCATTACCCATTATCTCTCTCAGCTTCACACAAAATACATGGAAAACATTCTTTAAGCAACTGAGTTGACCCAGGTTCAGCAGAAACATACAGCGCTTCATTCTACGGCATCTAACTCCTCTCAAGCCTTCCAGTTTTGGAGGATAAATTACATGGCGGCACGGTGAAATGCATGTTCCAGTCGCCAAATTTCATTCAGTGCTGAGAAAAGTCCCTCTTGCAAGATCTCCTACTTGTCTATTGGAGAAACATATGTACACAAACCCTCTCTCTCTTTCACACACACACACAGACACACAAAACCCCCAAAACATGCAAATAAACAGAAAGGCAGAAAGAAAAACAGTGGAAAAACCCCACAAGGTAGTAGATAAGCGGCAAAAGCTGATTTTTTTAAGCAAAGTGTACAAACTGTACTGAGAAGGACAAGATTGAGACCCAAGTGATAGGCCCATGTCGGCTAAGGTAGCATGAAAAATAGGCTGACACACTCAGGTTCAAGACCATTCCTTTGGCTTCGGGACACTTATTGGCTTAGAGGTGAAGTTATCCAGAGAGAGTGGAAAAGACACGTCCAAGAAACTTAGATGTGCATAAAAAAAACAAAAAAAAAAAACAACAACTGACAAACAGTCATAATAAGTAGTATTCCATTATAGACCAAGGTATCCAGTTTTTTTTTTATAGATTCTTACATGAAAAAACCTTCAATAAACTAGTCTTTATTGAGGAACAGCATTTCTTAAGATGATTGTTTCCATCGATTCAGTCTTTGGCATTACAAAGAGTGCAGGTCAGCAACTTTGGTGGGGGGAGAAGGTAGGTTTTAGAAGTTGGTCATTGATCAGTGTGGGTTGTCCTAATAGTAACTACCGAGATGGGATGGCACATGAGTGTTAGGGTGGCGAGGAACATTTGGGTTAGGGTAGATGCCTGCAGTGGGTGAACTCCAATACTGAGCAGTGGGTCCGAAGAAATTGGAGGAGGTGACTGGCATAGATGGAGGGTGAGGGGATACAAAGTTGACCTTTTGCTGGTGGGCATGGTAGGAAGGCACATAGGCTAGGTCCGACGGGTATTTATACATGGATGACTCGGTGGGGTGTGGCTGCAGCGCCTGAGCAATGCCATGGAAGTCGAACTTGTAGGCATAGCGTTTGCCATGCACTTTCGTCATGATATTTTTGTCATAGTAGTAGCGCAGCGCACGGCTCAGCTTGTCGTAGTTCATGTTGGGCTTGCTCTTACGCTCACCCCATCGCCGCGCTACCTCATCTGGATCTGTCATCTTAAATTCTCCATTGGTCCCTTCCCAAGTGATGCACCCTGCATTGGCACTGTCAGACAAGAGCTCCAGAAGAAACTGCCATAGTTGGATTTGACCTGAGCCTAAGGGTGGATAGAGGTACAAATCTTGGTTAGGTACAGTTAAGGTCTCGACAAAGTTCAAGTATAATGTTGTACGTTATGCTGACTAACTTAAGGTTTGGTCCAGCTTAGAAGTCTTGAACATGTCAATAATCTTACCTGGGTTGGCGAGACGACTACTGGTAGGGCCCAGGATCTGGTAAGGATCTGTGGACAAATAAAAAGTTTAAGTCTGCAGTCAGATTTCTTCTTATTGTCCAACATCATTATTTCATCTTGAAAAAAAAAGCTAAAAGCTCAAATTTATACCATGTCACAATTCAACTGTTTATAAAGGATTCTACTCAAGACGGTATCAGTATCATTATCGGGTACTCTACTGCAGATGAATAGTTTGTTAGTTATACATAATGTCAAATCACTTATTGTATAAATATAAAATGATTAAATTCCTTAGAAAGGAATGAAAGCTACAAATAATGATACATTCTATTTTTAGATAACTTGACATTACATCTAATCTTCTTTTCTTTTGGCAGGTTTAATGTTCCTCAGTATCATAGGGTTGTTTTCCACTGTTTTCTTTACAAAAGGGTGTGAGTTGTTGTTCATTCCTTTTTAAAATACCTCAGAGGAGTCCTGTTAAATTTAAGGCATACTTGAACAGGTCATACTTCTCAGGTTTTCCTTCAACAAAAACTAGAAACTTCTTTGGAAATTAAAAATTTCCATATTGGAATATTCCTTCAGCAGATAAATTAAGTGCTTCAGGGGTCTATATATATATATATATATATATATATATATATATTTATTTATTGATATCTATTTTTTTTTTTTTTTAGAAAAACAACTTTCTTTTGTGAATATATCCTTTTTGAAAATTGACTTGTTTAATTTATTTATGTCCAACTCTCTGAAAATCAAGAGAAACCTCACCAATAATTATGAATAAGATAATCATGATAATCCTTTAGCATAGTTCTGTTTATTCACTTGTGGTATTATGATAAAGCAACCTTTTTCTTTCTAGTCTTCTATACAGTTTTAGGAAAGACATTTATTCATAATTATATAGACTCTGAACAAAGAAGTTCTGAGTCAAGAAGCAGAAAAGATGCAGAGTAAGCAGTTACCTGGCTGAGCTCTGGGCTGCTCAGTGGATTTGGTCACATTCTGAGGAACTACAGGGGAGCCTGCATGGAGGAATGCAATTAATGGATGATGATGATGACATAGAGAAGGAGGCATAAAATATTTTAGAGAAGGTGGTCAAGGATTACAAGACAACATGTCTTGAATGCAATTAAATAGATGTTCAAGATAAATGGGAAAGTTGCTTTCTTCTGTAACCGTTAGGAGTCTTTTTTTTTTTTTTTACAATCTGAGACTGTTTCTGTCAGTAATACACTTCCTTTGGGTTAAACTCAGTATTAAGCTATTCTAGCATTATTATGAGATGTAGTATATCCATTGACAAAGTTTAGTTTTGCTATGTACTATAGAAATTATCCCTTCTCAGAAGGTTTCAAGCACATATTCATAAAAAAAATACTAAAAACATAAATTGAATTAAATTGTTTGACATTTTACTGTATGTGATCTTACCTTTGCCACTGTGCATGTTGTTAGACCACCCCGTCCGCCTTACAGCATCATATGAAAGATCTAAAAAGAAAAAAAAGAGATGAGTAAATTATATGTTGTTTAAAAAAAAAGGAGATTACTAATTAACTGGATGCAAAAGGGAAGTATTTTAGTTGCCCAAGGTGCAGAATACTATTACAATACTTCAGATTTCGTCAAACCACAGTCCTAAAACCCCTCAATGTGCACATGGTTAAATAAAAAATGTCCACTCGTAGCTGATCATAAGAATGCAGCCTTAACAGGTGTCAAGTCGTCTTAATAAATCAATCAGAATAAGATTAACGATATTCCCCACAGGATATCTGGACATGCTGGTGTGGTTTAAGCTTGCTTTAGTGGTTAACATTTAGATGGCACAATCTTTGAGAAAGTTCACATCTTGCAACACACTTGCCACAAATTGCTGATGCAAATGAACAAATAACAGACACACTAAAGACACACACTTTAACAGAACAATAGCCAGACAAAAAAGTCCCACTATTAGCAGCTTCCATGAAGCCTTTGTCGAAATGTGAATTCACCTGCATGGATACGCCCTGTCTGCTTTGTGTCTGTGTGCTGTGTGATGCTGGACAGGTTCCATCAAAAAATCTATCATTCTGACACAAGTGCATGCAACAGAAGCTGTGGCAATGTCTAAAATGCCCTGGCACAGTCAAAGTGCACCTGGCTGGTGCCCTTGATTGTTTGTATTATTACAGACTTAAACAGATCAAATAGCCACCAGAATGCATGGAAAATATGATGTTTATTAATGTCTAATTTGATTTACTCTTTTGTCAAACATGTTATCTTCAGTATAATCTCTGGCAGCAAATCTTTATTATTAGTAGTTAAGCAGTTTGTCCTTCAGTGGGAAGAAAGACGGAGCCCCTGTAAAGTTGATAGCTTTGTGAACAACAAGATGTCTGAAGGCCAAAAAAGTATTTCATTTATCTACAGAGAGTACAGAATTTTTCAAAAATAATTATAATTTCACTGCATGAATTAAATGTTGGAATAGGAAATGAATGATCAGCATAAACTTGTCATTGTTATCATGTCATTTTTGAAACCACATTTTAAAACCCTGGTATGCCAGTGTATTGGCAAACAGAGCATGCTCAACTTGAATGATTTAAAGATAAAACATTTTCTTTAAAAGTACCTTTGATGGAGGGACAGAGACCATCGAGGACAGAGTGAGAGCTGTCGAGATGGGAGGTGACTAGGCTATGCAAAAGGACAGAGGTGTTTTGATGGCTGAGGGAGGGACAGAAGCGATTTATGGCAGGAAGGTCATAATAAGCAGAGAACACAATTATTTATCTGGAATTGATATGAGATAGTGCTTTTGAGGATGGCAATTTCTGTTTTATCTGAGTTGAGTTTCAGAAGGGTGTTGGGAACCAGGAGTTTAAAGCAGAAAGGTAACAGTAGATATGGAAGGGAGGTTTTATGGATTACATCAGGGATTCAGACTCATTAAACATACATTACATCAAGGATCCACCCATTGTCTACACCTGCATGCAGGGTTGCAGTAGGGACAGATTTCTATCTCTACAGTAGAGACAGACCCACACATCGGCCAACATTTTTGGTCGATATCAGAGTTTTTATCAGGTATCAGCATCAGACAATTTATTTCGGCCGATTCATGGCTGCATTCTGCAGGCCTGCCTTGAGATCATTTGAAGGATATTCATTGCCGTTCACTTAATTTACTCTCCCTTGTTAATGTTTTGTTTGATTTATTAACGAATGTTTCTTTTCTGTTTAAACAGAGACTTGTATAACATTTTTTATCAATTCATAATGTTTTTGATTTAAATAAAGGAAAAACAGCAATATCAGCTCCAAGAATCGTCCCCAAAATATCCGCAGCAGAGATCAGGGATCAATATATATCACAGGCCGGCAAAGAACAGCTACTTAAACTAACATGCATATTTTTAAACTGTTTGAAGTAACTGTTTGAACCAAGAAAAAAGTCAGTCATCCAGAAGCACATTTACAATCTATGTAGACCTCTTTGTTGATCATATTTGCCATATTTCTGACAGTCTATGTGCTTTTTGCCCTTTGTTTCTTTGTGGGTGCAGAGTTTAGTTATTTTGAACTGAACAAGTATTGAAGATATTTTTGGCTTCTTATAATGATGTTGGGATAAATTTATATCTCACTAAAACCGATATATCTGCAAAACTAAGCTCTTGAATACTTGGCTTTATACAATACAGAAGGTCACTTACTATTGATTGGTTGGAGAATGCTCAGTTTTTTTTTCTTCTATTTATCCCTTCAAATATCATTTAATATTGAGGAATTAATTCACATCAATTTGATTGAAACCTAGTTGACATTAAATACTTATCTGAATATATCTTTACTGTAAGTGAGAAAGTGTGTGTTTGAAAAAGCACCACAGCAATACATCTATCAAGTTGTAGATGTTTTCCTGCACAATGCAATACTGCCCTCATGTGGAGAATGGTATCGTAATATTTCTGATGCTTGAAAATTTGCAAGTATTTAAATATTGATATTTTCACTCTAGTCTTCACCAACATAAACTTGTAGTGTAACTTTTTAAAGACTCATTCCGTGAGCAAACACCTAAATTGACAAACTGACCCGGTGTCGCCATAGAATATGAAAATGTCAAAGGACTAGTAGTTGTTAGAGTATCCCATTCTTAATTAGCATCATATACCCACAATGGGAAAGTTTCCTGATCCTTGGAGGCTTATCTGTCTCATCACCAGTTTCTACACTTCTTAACTTTTAGCCCATTCCTCCAATATCTGCTGTCAATAGAGATGTTTTATGGCATCTGTGGTTCTTTAGAGGAATTAAGTGAACAATAAAAAGTAAAAGGTTAAGAAAAGTGACAGCATAGTTAAAGGAATGATATCAACTTTCAATGGGAAAAAAAAGACAAACGGATAAATAAACAAAATGCAAAAAATGGTAGAGGAGGCACAAATAGTGAGAATGCTTCTTTGGTTCAGAGGAGCTGTCAGGTTCAATCTGGTGTGGGCCGACAGGATAGCCAAAGACCAGCGACTGGGGGAGAGTCCTAGGAGACTTGTGTTTCCTGCCTGCTTCTCCTGCAGACAACCTCTCTTTGTTTTACTGGCCCTTTTTTCCCCTTTACTCACTGCCAGCCCCCCCTCCACCACACCTCACCCCCGCCAACCAATCCCCATCACCCTGCAAAAGAAAATCTCCCAAAGGGGGCTACCTCGGCTGCCGAGAGGGCTTAGGAGTTGGTGGAGGAGGAGAGGTAAAGAAATCCCAAACGGTGAGTTGCAGACAGATAATAAAGGGCATGAAAAAAGGCATGAAAGAGGGGAAAGCAATAAAAAAAACCACTGAATCAGACAAAAAGTAACTCTGGAATTCGAAAAGAAAACAGCGGCAGCATAGGCAGGGACTGTCTAGTAAGGGTAGAGGGATGCCTGGTTGTTTCATGCTTTCAGGATCCTAACACCTACTAGAAATTATTTTTGTGTCTCATGATAACACTTTAAAAATGACTGCAAAAATCTTGATTTCTTTGAACGACTAAAGTTTATGAACCGTTAAGGGCTGTAACTTCACACACACTTTACCATGTGAAAGTTAGGGAAGTGGAAGTGAAACTACATAAGAGAAGGAAGGAGCCACAGATGCATGAAATACAAAGCCCCAGTGATTGTGTGAGGGGGCAACCGTGCAAACACAAACAAGAAAATGCGTACAGAGATCACCCTCGTCCCCACCCCGTATCCCCCTCCTTCTGCCTTCATTTTTCCAGACCTCGTTCTGACTGAGACTCGCGCCAGTTTCCACTCTGGTCTGGGGTGTGGTGCATGCTCCTGGGAGACTTCAACTGGTGGACCAGTTAGTCAAAACAAGACCTGAGCACTCCATAGAGAGGATGACAGAGAGAATCACAGAGAAAAGAAGAAATATAAAAACAGATTGAGAAACTGAGAGGAAGATAGAACAACCAAGCCAAGAGACTGAGGCAGAGACAAAGAGCAGAAGTATAGACTCAGGCCATGGACTAATTTTAACATTGAGTTTGGGCCAGAGAGCAAGAGAGAGAGAAAGAGAGAGGGACCCAGACAGGCTAAACTTTTTTAATACCCATAATACAGGTGCTTTAAAAACCATCTGTGAAGAGACAGAGCCATAAAAGGAGGAGAATAATGACAAAGTAAAGTAGTTAACCACAAAATGGGCAGAAGGTGCTAAAAAAATACAAGCCTACTAATGTACAAATGTTCAAAGACCACTTTTTACATGTAATTGAATTACTTCAAAATGATGGATGTTCTAAAACATTTTCTTTATTCTTAGTCCAACTAATCCAGAACTTTTGCCCATTCTTCTTCATAAAGCTTAGAAGTTCAAACTTAGTCAGTGTGGAGGGATAGTGTCTGTGGATATATATCTTTGAGTTCTTGCCAAAAAGGCTCAATTGGATTTAGGTTTCCAGCTCTGACCAACTTTGCTGTCTATGTTAAAGGAAAGCAGGTCCACAGCATGATGCTTCCATGACCACTTCTCATCTTAGGAAGACAGTGTTCCGCTTGTGTGTTTAGAACCCTGCACAAAGCTTCAGAGAAACCCAAAATATGTATGATTTATTGCTTTTTTTCCCTCTCCTTTATGAAGGCTAGATTTGTGAACTGCAGGACTGATGGTCGTCCCACCTGAGCAGCACCCTTGCCAGCCGGACAAACTTACTTGGTCTGTAGGTCAGTCTGGTAAGACTCAGACTCTTTAAACTAAAACAGACCAGACCAATCAGAGCAAGAGAGGCCGGGTGTTATACTTTCATTATGGCTAAAATTACCCACAATGCAACAACACTTTTCTGTAAACATAGCAGTCAAGATTGCAGCCACAACACAGCAATGTTTTAAAGAAACTTTTTATTATGTCCAGTTGAGCTGAATAGATCTTAAAAACATCAACTACTGGCAACTATAACAGCTCTTCTTTAAAAGAGATATTTTTTAAGCCATCTGTAGTTCCAACTCTTTTCCACTGACGGTTAGTCCTGCCTTGGCCCGACCTTTAAGATCGGGCTCTACCAGCTCTTTTCTCGACTGTAACATTACAGTACGTATAGGCCATAAGTTAGTCTGGCTAGTCAGGCTACATAAGCAGCGGATCCCTGCACCTCCTCCATGGACCTTGAAGTAGCTTCTCTGCTAATCCCTAGCCCTCATTGTCAGGCTTCTCAGTTGAGCTATATGACATTATCGTGCCTACTTCTTTTGGGGCAATATATCTTGTATGATATTTGCCAAACTTTATAAAATCTGTTGCTAAAATAAAGATTATGATGATGACTGGTTAATCAGTGCTGGCCCGATAGTTTACTCATCTATCCTGTCTCGCTTGGTCTCCACAATAGGTGAATGCAAAAGTTTGCACTGGATATTGTTTTGGAATATCTGAGGAAAAGGAGGCTGAATTGCTGTGGAGAACTATGAATTATTAAATTCTTATGCTAGTCATGCACAACTTTGTGTTGGTCTGTTTCATAAAACCCAGATATGATACACTGAGATTTACTGTTGTGATGTATTAAACTTTAAGTGATATATATATATATATATATATATATATATGTATATATATATATATATATATATATATATATATATATATATATACAGTATGTCCACCATAAAATTGCAGACCAAGAGCTTAAATGCACACATTCACAGACACACAGATCCTTTCATAGCTCCTGCATTCCGTGTTTTATATGCTCTCTTTTATTCATAACATTGCCTTTTACACCGCAGAATCTGGTGCAGATTAAGGGTTGTCTCCTGCCATATACTTGTGCTTACTCTACCTCAAAGAGCCTGTATGGTATTTGGCTGATCTCACAAGGCAATATGAACATGAACATCTGGCAGCGCTCATCTGCACAGACGTTGATAATGGGTTCTCAAGTAAGGCACCTTTTATTGTCAAGTCCCAAACGTAAGCTTATAATCCTGACATTTTGTCCTTTTGTTTTATTTTAGCTTTTTAAAACTGTTTGCACCACAGTAACATAAATGTTCCATAAGTACACTAAAATAGCAGCAAGGATATTGAGTCACTTTTATTCCAAAAGGTGGAATATATAGGCCAGGGTCTCTGCTTACAGTCAATGCAGACGCTGGTGTTACAGGAGCCCATTATAGCAATCACCTCTTGTGAAAGGGAAATGCTTTCGAAGGGAGTGACCCGCTGTTCCTGCCAGTCCAAATACCTGGTGCTGAGAACCAGGAAGACCAGGGTCAGGGGGTGACAGAGCAGAATCTTATCTGGCCTGTCCATTGGTCTATTAGGTTGAAGCTGTGTAAGAACAAGTCCACAGCCGGGTAACTCTCACCACAGGGCTAGATAGAAAAAGAGGCATAGGGCATTCTTTAACACTTATCAGAGCTAGTATTTCCTTTGCCACTGCCTTGATAGGGCCCCTCATCCTGTAGGCGAAGCTATCAGTGTTATTGCAGTCATTTCTCTCGTCTCTGGTGGTGACACTCTATAGCTGATGTAAATGATGTTTTTTTTTCTTTCTTAGAGATATGCAGCCAGTGCCTATTCCAGTTGTGTCAGCACAAAGTAATGTTTTTCAGGGGAAAAGCCATCAAGAGGAAAAGGACAGTCATTCTGAAAAGCCCTGTCCTTGGAACTCTTGACTCTGACTTTTTAAAACAGTAACACTGGAATAAACAAAACAAAACAAAAATATATATATAATTTTTTGCTAACTTTATTTTTAGTATGAAAAAAAGCATTTAAATTCCCAACTTGGTTACTGTTCTGTAGAACAAAAGTAGTCTAATTTGCATCCATGCCATTGAAAAGTTAGAAGCATTTTATAGCACTTCAGCCTAATATAACATTTGTAATTTTTATACTTTGTCATTCTTCCATTAAGCAAATGTTCATATTTGTTTTCTTAATTGAATATTAGCTGTCTCCTTTTGGCCATAGTTGCCTCTAATATAATATTCTCTCATCCATAAAATGAGACTAAACCAAATCCTGCTGCAGTTAATCAAAACTGCTGAACTAAGTTGTCTTTAAACAGGAATTGGCTTAATATGATCCATGTTGTCTGTATGCAGTTTGTGTAGCGTTGGTGATAAAAAATCACACAAAACTACCGGTGTGATGATGTTTTTTGAGACAATGTCTGGACAGCAGTTTGTTCAGATTGTTTTTTTTTGTTTTTTTTATCTTAACATTAATTTTTGACAAACTGGATGAATTGTTTACAGCTATAAGTTTACACTTAGCAAATACATGCATATCTAACACAAATATGTTTTGCACTTTCTCCACTGCAAAGTCTTCCAGCAGAACAGCTGGTCCCCATAGAGGCTGGTGGGTAGATATTACTGATGAAATAGTCACACTGATTTCTCTAGCACCCCCCATCCCCACAACTACCCCCCACCTCTGCACTTTGGGTGTGAAAGATGTCTGACAGATAATGTTCCTCAGGTGCAGCTTGATCTCATATGCCTGAAGAAACACTATAGTGTATCTGTATCAGATGGTTAAAATAAATCCTATAGGAACATGTTCCTCTGTTATCATTATTAATATTTTCATATATGAAAAATACATAACTTGCACACACGTGGTTTCACAATTCTTGCAAATGAAGCATAGAGTTCATGTGGGAAAAAAAAAATGGGATCTCCGATGTAATTATTTCAAATTGAGTCTTTAAGTTGCATTTTAAAACTTCTTGTCGCTAAAGCCCATCATGCAACATACACTCATTTCCATCCAGCCTCCCCTGTTGTGTACAATAAGCACACAATGTTGCTTCAGCACCTGTCTACCATGTCTGCTCTTCCAGTAATCAGTCTCCTTTAAATAATCACTGTATTTGAAGTCTGTTTGTGCACGTTTGGTGCTTTGGAAAAAACTAATCAGCGCTCTGTTCTTGCCGAGTTTGTTAATATGGCTCTATTCAGCTATTCCATTTCTAAGCTCCACTCTGTTGTCACGGCATTCAGGTAGCTGTTTTGAATAGCACAATCTGCTGGCTCATATCACCTCAGCTACACAAAAGCCGCACCTGCCTGGAGCATTGTCCTTTGCAATCAGCCATTGCATATGCTTTGCTTGTGGTGATTGGGCTGTTTTCCGAAGTGTGCCGTTGCTTTGTGTCCTCTTGTTGTTACATGCATCGATAACAATGGCAGGAATTGTGATCCAGAGTCCCATTTAAGATTCATCACAACATTTTCTAACCAGATGAGTAGTTTTCCATATATCATATTTAATCAGATAACAAATAAAACATGATTTTGTTTTTAAATAGAAAAACGTCTTTACCTTCTTTGGCAGCCAAACGCGGTGATGCGTCAGTGTGAGATGGTGTATTGTAGGATAACGATGAGCTACCTGTAAAATAACGAGACAACAAAATTAAATCCTACTCATTCATCTGTGATTCTAAGTGTGGGTGTTAAAATTACAGAGCAAGAAACAAACACACATTTTTCATAGTGTTTTTAAAAAAAGTCACTTTGTGAACATTGCATTGAATGTTTCTGCCTCAACAATGAATTTCAAATGGAAAGCAACTGGTCCATACAAAGTTGAGACATCTTCATTGAGCTGCCAGCAGGTGGCAGCAGAAAACTCATGTCCATTTCATGTAATGCCATTGAATTCTTGAGTTGCATTGGTTTTTATTTCAAAATAATATAAAAGTGTTTGAAAAAAGTACATCCAACCCAGAGTAAATCAAATACAGCCCACATGCGAGGTGCTTAAAATGTAAAGAAAACCCCCTCAGTGCCTCTCTGTGTTTTCCAGTACAAGTGCTCCTCCTGGGAGGCGAGAGTCCTCATATGGCTGCCTATTCACTTCACCTTATTGAGCAGAACTCTGTGCCACATTCCTCCACTTACACAGGCACCCTGGGCGGCACCAAAATGCTCTCTTAATTTTAGCCGCCCCGAGGCATAAATCAGCGAGTGGAAAAACAGACCCAAAAAATCCACAGAGAAAACACAAGAGCAGTTAGTGCAAAGAGACTGCAAGCCAAGATTTAACACTAAGATGACTGAGCACTGGGAGGATACCTTTTCTGAATGGAGCTAAATGAAAGACAACCTTAAGTACGAATGGAAATAAAAGCCCAGCCGCATTGAGATGTTTGCTTGAGATCTGATGCAGGATCCTTACCTAGTGTGTGCTGCTGGTGGTGGTGGAGGGGCCCGTCGTGGCGGGCTAGGGGTCTGTTTTTTTAAGGGGGTGGCTGCAGAGGTGAAACACTGGGGTTCTCCACAGATGCATTTTAACCTCGACATACCCCACCCCTCTGTTCTACCTACTCCGCGGCACCCCCAAGGGTCTGGGTCTAGTTTAGAAAGCTGGGGGCCTTAGAACAGGGGAGCTATTGTGTAGGAAAGGGTCCCTCCACAGCAATCAAACGCAGCTCCCCATACAAAAATAATTCCACACGTTCAGTATAAGCATACAGAGGCTAAGGAGCCACCAAAGCAGTGTCTTTAGAATGAGGGTAAAAAATGTAGGAGAAAAGACACAACCAATGGGGAGGGAAGGGAAATGAAGGGAGATGGAAAGGACCGTTAACCCTTTTCCTACTGTGTGCCACATATGTGGGCTGACCCAGACAGGCAAACAGGCAGCATTGCAGAGCAAACCTCAAACCATCCCACAGAGAAATTCAGGACCTCCGCATGGCTGAGAGTGAGAGTGAACGAGACAGAGGAGGGAGAGACCACAGCTGACTGTTTGGTGGAGGAGAAAAGTTGGCTGTGCTGCCTATTTATTTGCACGGCCTCTTCCTCTTTTAGAAAACAAACATGTCCTGGTAATCTGACAGCACAGTGGGATGACTGGCCAGCCTTTGAAACCCTTACTCTCCCTTTGTGTCTTGACTAACATCTGTTCAGAGTCTGTTAGATTACATAACATCTACAAACAATTTTCTTTTCTCCCCTTCCTCTGACTGATGGGTCTCTCAAAAGCAATGCTCCAAAGTTTGAGACGCTTAAAACAGACATAATCTTTCTCCAGCCTTATTTCTAACTTACCAAAAGAAAATCCACAATGCCTAATCTGTAATGCTGCATTGTAACTTTAGTCTGAACACTGCCCGGTTTTGAACCCCTTACCACGTAATACAAGGCAAATTGGCTCCAGCCATCCATTAAGCTCCACAGTACAAAACTCCATTTATACCAGCCTTAAAGAAAGAAGTATATAAAAACAGGGCTATTACTAAAATATGTACAATTCATTGAAAAACTAATGCTCTTTTGCTAGTTAAATAAAAGCCTTTGGCAAAACCTAGATCGTTATATTTTTTACACTAATGTCTTTTTACCTACCCTATTACCCTATTAAGATTGCCTTAGTGTTTTCATGCACGTTATTCAAGTTATGGTCTTTCCAGAAGGTTTAAAAAAGATTTCCGGCAATATTCAAGAATATTCTAATGTATGGTTTTTAAAAAAGTAGTGAGCAATTTTTCTAACCAACCATGTAGGTTTCTCCATCTTTTCTGAATCCAGATTAGTACAGTAGGGGAACTTCTCCTCTGAGAGCATCAAGCACATCAAACTTTCACCAACTAAAAATTACAATCTCAAAACCATTATTATTTTTCAATGCTATTCATTTTACCTTATTTCCAAACGCTCTTCATTTTCCATTGGGTAAACAAGCCATTAAATACACAAGCCACTGAATAATTACTGATAAATCGTTGTGAAAGGTGGCACCACCTATTGGTAATCTGCTGTGAAATAAGTTATTAGAACAGAAAAAGTCTTTTCAATCACATGTTAATAGAAATAACTTTCACTGATAAAAAAAATGAAACATTTCCAACTTCAGTTCTCATAAAATGTTATTTTTTAATTTAAAAAATGCTTTATTTGTTCTGTTGTCAGTATGTGTCTCAGACAGGAACATTATTAGTGGTATACCACCTCATACCTCTATTTCCAATCTAAATAAGCAACTGCTAAAGTTTCTAAAATATCAAATTCATAAATTGTAATGTTGTTTTTATGACTAAAGCTGTTTTAGGAAGGAGGAAGTTGACATTTCTGTCTGTTGAACAAGCTGTTAATTTTATTTTTTATACAAAACAAAGTCACTTAGAGGATTGTGTACTACAAGGTAGACAATAACTGTTCACTGATTTTTTTCCTGTTTCAAATCAGATATTAAGGTACAAATTTTCCAATAAAGCTGACAATGTATTGGAAAAACCTGCAGTTTAAAATAAAATCCAAAACCAGCTCCCTACAGACTGCCCACTTTAACAACAGATGGTTTTACAACTTATCCTAAAATTTAGATTATTTCTGTTGTTACTCTCTAAACAACAGTAAAAGAGTTGAATTTACTATTCAGTCCAGTTTGTAAAACAATAATAGCATGTTAAAAAGCCAAATAAAAAAGTGTTTGAATCTCTACACCCATTACTCTCAAGCTATGGTACAGGTATACCAATTGGTACTAAACATTTTTGAATTACTACTTATTTATAAGTTGAATCCAAAAGAATTAAAAGTTTGGGCCTAAGTTTGATGGGCTTAAGTTGAAGTAAACATTTTTGAAGCATATGAATCTTCTACTGAATAAGTGATAAATATTTGGAAGCAGAGTGCACTATAGAAAAAAAAGGCCCAACATCTTGATGGCATATAAAGAAACACAAAAAAAAGTTAGACAAATCTCTTTTTTTTTAGATTTATTTAAAATTAACATTTATTTTAAGTCCTGGTCTATAAATTATCGTTGCTAAACCCCAATGCTAACAATTAAAAGTAATCTTTAAGTCGTACCAACTGATGAGGACATTTTATCCAAGAAAGTGCTAACCACAGACATTAAAAAAGCCATCTCCCTTCAAAAAAGGTCCTGAAATATATGATATATGTGAAAATATCTGCAATAAAAAGTCAGCTGGTGCTTTTCTATTTGGTATAATAGTGGTTGCATCTTTTTAAAGACAGATTGAATAACTTGGCTTGTCAACTAATGAAAACCAAAAGAAATAGAATAACTGTAGCAAATCTGAAAATAATAGTAATGTATATTCCCATGATGCAAAAAAGGACTTCCAATACATTTCTAGTGGTTTTATCTAAGAAAAAACTAAGCGTGACCTGGCATAAATGAAAAATTTTAATTCACAGCATATCTGTCTCCCATCATAAGACACCACTTCCTTCTAAACCATTTGTTAATATGTGGTCAAACAACAGAGCTGTCACTTAAAAAAAAAAAACACCAAAAAAACCCGTACAAAGTTAGAAGTGACATGAGACGTTAACAAAATTGAAGCTTTGGTACATGGCATAGAAATGACATTCTTGTAAAACAGCCAAGACTGCTTTTGAGCAGTTGCAAATAACTACACCTCTGACCATATTAGGCTTGATGACAAATACTTTGGGTTTTCTTGGAAGTAACTGTCATGTATGATGAGCAGTCAAAAAAGTGTTTACAGCATAAATCCAAAACACTCTCACATGCATACCACTGTAAGCCATTTATAGTAGGTAAAAGTTTGTTAAACTCTGCTTTGCTTCTCACCTTTATCAGCATGAATCATAGCTTAAAAATGTATAGAAATTCATTTTTACTCTAACAAGTAAACAATTCAGTTGCCACAACATTTAAGGCCATAAAACATTTCCACCTTTCATTCCATTGCGTGTACCATTCTTAATGAATTCTTAAATATTTGAATGAATGATAGTACAATGAGTATAAAATCAACCATCTTTCAAGAAAACTGTGACCAAGATTTGTAAACTCCTTTACTCTGATACCCCTAAGAGTAATCAAGGGTAAGAAAGTCTCTTCTGAAATTACCTTATAAGTAAAGAGAGGGTGTTAGTGTATCATTTAATCTCTTTCTGAATGGTTCTGTTCTGTGTGGTCTATGAAATTATAAGAGAACAGAATAGAACAAAGAAAGCTAATTTGCAAAACTAGCAGAGTTTGGATATCTACCGACATTCTCACTTCCGAACATCCTATTTGCACCACTGATTTACGACAAATCTACACTTTACACATATACAACTTTCCTTCTAATACTTAGCTCTATAATAGCATTCAAACTACACTCTCTTCTTTTTAAGCCTATCAGAATATTCTCCATATTCATCCGTCCTAATGCCAATTAATTCCTGCATTCCAGTAGGCAAGTGAGCAGCCAGACTGCTCTGTTATGGTGGCTGACAGAAGACAGCTAACAGTAAAGGGCTCATGGCCAGGCAGCAGAGCCCCTCCACAACAGTGATAATCTGCCAATGAAAGAACTAATGCAAGGGGAGCTCAATAAAATTGTTGTGAGGGGAGACATTGGAGGAAGAGAGAGCAAACTCTCTAGACCTCCTTTTTTCCCTACTCAGCCTGCGAGCCCAGATGTTTATGGTCTGTATAAACTATTGAGGGCTTGAGAATGTCCCCCCTCCACCCCACTCCGAAGTGAACAGCAGCAGCAGTGCAAGAAGCCCAGACTTATCACTCTCCCACTCCTTCTACCTCTCTGTCTCGACTCCCTCACTGTAAATCCATCCAGGCGCACAAGCAACGGCGACAGCTGGGAAACAGAACTATTGGTACTCTCCACTGGCTTTCATTCAGAGACTTTTCAAACCATTTCCATGCTCAAAAAAAAAATCCTTTTCCAGTTTGTCCATTTAACTGATTCATCATGCTTGCAACCTGCTGTTGTTTTCCACAATATTTCACGGAGCTATTCCTTCATTAAGTGTGTGCTCTAATGATCATTTAGAATTACAGCAGATCAATTCACAGTTTTCACCCTAATAGTCCCATCTGGTTTCTCCTTTCCAACCCCCCTCCTTGTCAGAGGATCCAAGCTCTTGCTGTCTGAGGTTTGCTGCTCCGCTCCGTTTCCAGCACATGTGGTATCAAACCGACCTACATGGGTGCGATAAAGCAAACAGTCCACAGTCCCTCCCTGACAGACTAATTTGAACAAATTCTCAAATTGCACTTCAAATTGAAAGCACATTGGGGGTGTGGGCGGCCGTCGCTTATAAAAATCCCAATAAGTGACCAAGAACGAGGCTAAAATAATATGCATGCCAGCAAGCCTTGTTTGTTGTAAGCAGCTGGGTAGCTGGACAGATGTTCAGCTCGTGCCCACGGTTGAATACGCATGGGTGTTTAAACATTACTGAGTCTGACGTGGCAGAGATGTTTTGTTATGGCACAGCTATACATAGGGTGGGGAGATTTCTTCTCTACGTTTTCCGCCAAGAGTCTCAATGACGTAGAGGAATGCTCATCAGAGGTACAAAAAAACTGGACCAAATGCACACATGGTAAAGATACATATTTATAAAATGACAATTATTGCACCATCAATGTTTTATGGATCGGAGGTAATATTTGAGAGGAATCAGTTGTGGCTGAGGATGACATCCATGACCTATAATCACTAATACTTCCAGAGTTTGACTTTGCTTTTCCCCTTTCTTTCCTCCTTTTTTTTTTTTAATATTTTGGAATCTTGCCTGAGCTCAAACTCTCATGACTCAAACCAGAGGTCTATTTTGTGGACAAGGCTCGATTATAAAATTGTTTGTGTGTGTTGTGGGGGGAGAAATAAGAATGACCAAAGCCTCTAAATTAGGGTCTTGTACTCCTTTTTGGTAGTTCTAAAAGATTAATTTACTAATATGTTTCCTTTTTCCCATTAGGCTGTTAGTGTTAAGAATATAGATGTTGCTTTTTTAATCTCTAAATCAGGTCTTTCAGTCCAGACTCAGAAGAATTCATCTTTTTGACAATTTTCAATTTTAGAAGGCAATTTTCTACTGGCAAGTGTGCAGGAACCCCAAGACATCCATTCTGTCTCCAAAACATACAAAGTCTAAAAAAAAAAAGAAAAAGGCAGTGATGGGCAAGGTTGCAATGCAGCAACCTAAAGCTGCTGTCTAAATCCTGCAGGCAGAGGCCATTATGAAAACTGCTTTGCAGAGTGTGCCCAGTGGCGGTCAGACAGATCCACCCGCTGCAGTGCTTCACAATGAGGCCGTTATACCGACTGTAAGCATCTCTCTCTCTTTCTGCCCAGATGCTCAACATAGAGAAATCTATTGACACCCAAAAAATACAGTTCCCATTACATCAGATGAAGGTCCATTGCAATTTTAGAAGAGAAATGTTAAATATAGTGGAGCTAGCAGTCACTCCACCCAACGGGCTGTCATTATATTCTGAAACAGCAGCAGCAAAAAAAAAGTACACTATTCAGAGGCACAGAATCCAAATCTCTTCCAAACTAATGTGTATTCAAACTGCAGCCACACCAGATGTTAAATCTTATATCAAAATGTCATTTGCATATAGCCTCAGAAACTGACTGCTTCTCAAAGAAACACATAAAGCCGGATTACAACTAGGCGCCCTTCAAAGGTAAGAGGCTCATATGTATTTGCCCCCATTGAAAATTGCAGATCAACGTTCTTTGCTGTGCCGAGCATACAGGCCGAGCTGCCTTCCTGAGGCAATGCACCTGGGCTTCATCTTTTTTGTTGGACCATGTGGAATAAAGGCGCTGCAAAGTGTAGTGAGGGGGATGTAGTTGATGGTTATCTTCAGGGGAAAGAAACCCTCTTGGTTTCCACATTTCTGCTAGCTACACACGAGGCAACATTATGGAGAAATGAGTTCCAGTTAAAGCATTTCTCCTGTTCCTTGTTGGTTTAGTTATAGTTGGTGGTGAAATAAAATCTGTCATGCAACTGTTTCAGGCTAGACTTGGCAAATAAAACTTCTCTTTTTTTCCTCATTCCCTATGCAAGTATAAGACAATTTACTTAAGCAGGCTTGGATTTTTAGTTTTAAAAAATCCAGGCTATGAAAATCATTCTTCATAGAAGAGAGTACAGAATTTGTCTAACGGTTCTACATACGAATTTTTGGATTTACACACAAATCCATACAAATAAAGCAGACTTACTTTCCCTGAGGTAATTGAGATGAGACAGAAGCACTTCTGCGTTGTACATGGTGGTAAGTCGGAGGAAGTCATCCTTGCTCATCTTGCAAAGCTCTTTGCCGTCTGTGTTTTGAAACATTGACGTGTCAATTTCTAGCAGTCCGTACTCCTTGATGGCCCACTCCAGCCACTGGCGCACATGGTCTTGAGACCACAGTGATGGGTCTGAGGGAAGACAGCAGGAAAGAGGAAGTTTATTGACTATGGGATTCTTAGTGAAACACACAACTGGGAAAGTTTTAAACAGAGCTGGCCTGAAAGATCAGCTAACTTATCCCCCGGGTTAAGGGCTCAGGACAGCAGGAGGCCTCCAAGAGCACAGTATCTTAGATCTTACTTTGTTGTCAGTTGTAGAGTTTTTTAGGAATGAGCTGAATCATGTTGGACTATGGTTCAGTTTGACCCTTTGCCAGTTTGTAACCCAATTAAGCCCCCATCTGTTGCCATTTCTTCTCTTCCTCATTTTGTAACCACAAAAGAACATGTCATGCAAATACTCAATCCCACACATAGCTAAAGAGTATTTTATAATAGATTGCAAAACATTTTATTTCTATCCACACTTTGCCCAGTTTAACTGTATGAAAATTAGCAACCTCTTTCAGGTATTATTTATTGAATTTGGATACCTACATTTATTGATAGTTAACAATTAGTAGATACAAACATTCCCCTGAATTGCTGAAAGGACAGATTGTTGACAGTTCAGTTTTAAACACCATAAGGTCAGGAATGAAATAGCAGCTACAAAGTTACGACATAGCCAGGAAATAATTGACTGTTTTTAAAATGTGTCTAAATTGATCAATCAATTGAATTTATTTAGCAATTAAAAGGTGAACTGTCCAAACGCAATGTAAAATAAGAATTGTTTGATAGCTGTAAATACAGTCATAATCAAATAACTGTGTTCCACAAATATTGGGTGGATAAAAACTTTGGCTGAACAATTTCTGACCTATAAAATATTTGATCCCAAGTGCTATTATTGAAATTGGCTGATGTTGTTAAGTTACAAATTAAAGGAAATATAGTTAGGTCACTAGACATGTCTAGAATGTCTAACACACTCAATTGAACAAGGCAATCCTGTGGTGATCTTATCCTAATATAAGCATTGAAACTAAATTCTGGTGAGAATCCCATTTAACTTTGGACCAAATTGTTGTCTTATTTCACAGACATGAGAAGGAAAATAAGCAAAGGATTATTCACTACTCCTATCCCTTCCTGTGTTTGTTGAAATGTTTTTTATATCATGTCAAAAATTGGCGATGAAAACAGAAAAATTAAATACACATACAATTCTGCCTGTATAATCCTGTATAAACCTATATTTTATATACTGCATAGCAAACATTGAAACAAATCCTGAAACTCATGACTTGCCATTAAAGGCTAGCAACAAGTGGAGCTCCTAAAAGCCTGGAGATCACTTAATGAAGAAAGATCACTCAGATGTATCATTTACCAACACTACTCTCAGTGCTTTTAAATGTCATCAGCCCTAGCGATAATCCAACTACAGAAAGCAATCTGTGGTTGGTAACACTTAGCATACCCCAATAAAAAAACAAAAAACACAATTACAAATGTGTCTGAATTTGGAAAACGTAAGTCTACACTGTAATTAAGTTTAAGATTTGTATTTGTTCTTTGTTGTTAGATCATATCTACATGTGACGTCAGACCTTTCATGTAAGAGAATACAAGAAGTTACAATTAAACGTTATCAAGAAAAAACTTTGCAAAAAATATATGTACAATCACAATTTGAATGGTATGAATCACCAATTTACAAGTACCAGTCTACATCCCCTGATAGAGCTGTTATACTCCTTACCAGTTGGTGGTACAGTAGATGAACAGAACAGAACCTGTCCCTACTTGATCCGCATCGGAAGCACGATCCATACAATCGGCTCATTTGAGCATGCACAGCCAGATATATATCCAGGTAATCCTCGATTTTAAATTGTAAAAAAACCTAATAATAACATTTTTAGTAAACTGTGTACTAAACTATAATGTGTTAAATGTTAATAATGTGTTTCCTGAAAAAATAAATGCCTTAAAATCCTTTCTGTTTGATCACTTGTCTGTGCCCAACTGTGCCAGAAATGGGATCCTACGCTCCTTCCAGGAGTTTTTCGACTTTGGATTTAAAAATGAATCTAGTCTTTTTGAGTTTTATTTTTTCCTTTCAAGTTAACATTGTGGTATAAAGTGTGTAATCTAAAGAAAGAAATAACAAAAAAAGATAAACATGGTTTAATCATATTTTGCTGGACTGCTCTGAGCACGTCCGATGATGACGTCAGACAAACTGTTTGACGGAGAAAATATAAAAAGCATCAAATCGTCTCAGAAAAGTCATAAAAATATTTTAAAGATGTGTATTAGAATTCTTTAGTGATTTGAGGATAGAAATAAGTACTTTTAGGATCACGATTACATTATTTATGGTGACCTGGATGAATATCTGCAAATGCGCAGATGATACGGATCGTGCTTATCGCACATTGTGCTGCGCATGTGTTGTTTGAGATCACGGGTAAACGTGAAATCATTGGTTTCGTTTTCATCTTCTTCCTCTTCCTGTTTTTTTTTTTCATGGTTGGCAAACAATCTTCAGGAGCATTATTGCCATCATCTGGTAAGGAGTGTAACAGCTTTATCTGGGTTTGTAGAGTCATATCTGAAAATGTTTGAATTTCCGTTGTATTTTTGAAAAAAAGTAATTTGGTTACTTGGACAACTTGTGTACTTAACTTCTAAACTTGTATTCTCATAATACATGTGACATTAGATGAAACATCTAATGTCACATGTATTAGCTGAAAACAAGGAACACATTTATTGACTAACATTTACAAAATCAGACACATGTGCCCACTCCTATTGAGAGTTACCTTCCCCTGTTGTGTCTTGGCTAACAATCTCTACTTGCAGAAATAATTTCTTGCTCACCATGACATTAAAAATAGTGACTAAACAAACCCTTAACCCATAAACTAGGAAAGAAGCAAGGTAGCTGGCAGCAGATGTAAAATTATTGAGTTAGAGTTTGGATTAAAAAGTTGTGAATGTTGAACAGGGAAATGCCTTTAGTTCTAGATTGTTGTCCTGCAGTCAGATAGTTATTTCAATTAAAACTTTAGTCACAAACCTCTTTGCCTACCTGCAGGTACAATGACTCTTCGCTCATTGGTGGTCATGTTGGGAGGAGGGGCATTCTTCTCATCCATATAGCTTCCATACGTCATTTGAGATGTGTCATTAGCCCCGACTAACTTGTTACATTTGCCCACACTGCAGTCCACAGGAGACTCCCTGCTGCACAAAAGCACGTTAGAAGTGCAGTTGTTAAAACATTATTAGCAGATAAATTGGGTGTTGTTCAGTTCCTTTCTAGCAATTGACTTTGGCATCAAGCACTATTATTCTGAACTTTCCCCGCCAAGAATACAACTGATAACAAGCTGTAAAGAAAAAAAGAGGAATACAAGACACGGAGGTAAAACACAATTGTACCTGGATCCATTCATGTGCTCGTATTCTCTCTTGACATTGACCCGCACAGGCTGGTTGATCCACTCTTGCTGTGGGGGTAAAGGGTTGATTTTGTGGGTCTGGCCATAGTCCTGTGTGCCAGATGCAGTCATGTCTGTCTTTGAGAGCGGGGCAGCAGCAGCGTATGGAGGCTCAAATAAGGACTGGTCTTCACTCACCACTGATAGCGCCTCCTGTAAAGGTAGGCAGACAGAAAATAGGTTAGTTTTTCTTGAATTGCTTTTCACATGAAAAATGACATAGGTTACTTTATACCACAGCAACATAATCAACACTTAACTCTACTTAGACAGCCTGTTTTGATGTAAAGATGCGATTAGAGATACAATAGAAAACTGTCCGATTTCCAATTTGATCTACCTTTCATCAACTGGCAAGGATCTCAAAAATCTGTTCTTTGAAAAAAAAAAAAAACTAAGCTAATCATATTAAGATCACAGAAACAACAACACTATTCAATGTGATGCAATACTGAGTAAAGAAGAAAAGTGTGGTTCTAGACAAGGATCAACAGGGCATAATGCTCCTGTAGACGAGCCCTGCTCTCTATGATGACAGCTGTACTGAAACCATACTAACCATAACAGATTAGTTCCATGCATAAATGTAATGTTTACCTTTAATGCTGAACTTTTACGATAATTTAAAAATAGGGGTTTTGTACTTTTTAATTCAGCCATAAGTAAGCATCAGTCTTCATCTGTGAGATTAGGGATCTACAACTTGCAGCTGTCGAGCCACAAGTACCTCTTGGCTTTGCAGTCCACTTAATATATTAAATGATACACAATTGTCTTGTTTAGTTTTCTTTGCTTGTATTTGTGTTTTATTCTTCGTCTTTACTCTGTGCCCTAATGAATAAACACTACCCTCCGCCTCCCTGATAAATTAAGTCTAGAATCACAGTGACTTTTATTTGACATATAAAAGTTTTAAGTTGCTATTCAAAAGAAACTGTAAGGTAAGTGCAACAGAGTGAGTGTTTAGCAAATAACATGAAGCTGAACGTATTGTACTACAGCTGTTTTGTTTCATTCATTTGATGAAAAAGAAAAAAAAGAAAGAAAAAAAGAAAGAATTTGAATATTGGTTCCCTGTAAATAAAAAAGTGAAGCCACAGACCCACATTTTCTCTGTCCCCTGCTTTAATGCTTGTAATGCTTTCCAAGTTCCTAGCTAATGAAAGATGCTATAGGTTGTCTGTAGATATACTACAGGAATGGCTGTTTTACAGAAAATCTCTTCATATAGCGACACAAACCACCAAAAGCTATTAAGCAAGAGGTGAACGGGCAATAAAAAACACTTACTCCCCAAAAACTGTATTTAACCGCCTTTAAAATTGTGAGAGAGTAGGTGCACTGCTTAAACTCTATGGGCACACCGTTAACAAAAGCAAGAAAATCAGACTCAAGACCCTTCCCTTAAACATGTGAAGTCACATTTTCAGTCTCTTGTGTATTTTTGTTTACAGCAATTATGTGCACTTATGAGTTATATCACAGTCTGGGATCCTCTGTAGTTTGTGTATACAGCTCTTGTAGGGCTGTAGCTTCCTGTTGATGTTAAGATGACTTCAATCATACTCACAAAGCTGTTAGATAAGATGCTACAGAAGGCTTGCTCCAATCAGATAAAAATTTGACAAGTACACTGAGTATTAATCACTCAGCGCCTCAAGCTGAAAGTAAAAGAAAAAATGACAGCCGCAATGTTCTAACCTCATTTTATATCATTCCCCATGTTAAAATGTGTTCCTTAGATCATCAGCGGCCTATTTTCTAGATGTATCTGGACGTCAATATCCCCTGTTGAGCCATACAGTGTGCATCACGTCTGAGCATTGGGCTTCCCCTTCACAGCTGAAGACTCAACAGAAGCAGTGGGGGTCACAGCTACACTGACCCCTGTGCTTTGGCGCTGCTGGAGCAATGTCAGTTTATTAAAGAAAACAAACGCAGAAACTCGCAGAGGCGGCCAAGATATTGTGTGGTTTAGATGCTTTTCTTGCGTAATGTCTTAAAAGAAAAGCACAAGCTCTGCAGTTGATGGATTTCATTTTAACACGTCACTTTTTTAGGAAAATAGTCACACAATTTCACCATCACTGATCTGAGCAGCCAGTGTGTTTAATAATACTTTATGAACATTATAAAAGTAATGTATTTAATAGAGGAAAAAAAAAACAATAAAGAAAAGAATACGAAGTGAAATGATAACAATATGGCTCTGAGGATTAGGCTCGGTTCTGATGCACATCTGGATCTGATCGGATCTGATGGCACGGCAAGGACGGAAACGTGTCTGATCCCCGAGGACTGACTTTTTTTCATTCCAGCATGCCACATAAGCTGCTTCAGGGGAAAAGATGAGACTTGAGATTCACTGATTCATAGATCTTACGTGCAATCTCTGAGGCTTTTATTATGGCAAAGTAATGAACACATTAATCTATTGTGGTTTTCCTCTTTAAATACATGTGACTAGGATGTTGTTGTTGGTTTTTTTTTGTTTTTTTTACTTTTTCCAGAACAGAAAGTAAAAGTATTTTTTTTTTATTATCCATTTATGAAATCTGCACAACATGATACCAGTCTGCATTCCCTTTTTCATTGGCCAGTAACTCAAACAAACTCAAAAAAATTAAAAAACGCAAAACAGAATAATAAAGATGAGATCCACATTCAAGCACTTTATAGGATTTATACATATGTATAGCCTCCTTTATAGAAAATATAAGTTTGATGGGTCACCGCAAACTGAAAACAGGTTTAAATTTTTTTCAACACCAGAGTCTTTAGTGGATTCAAAAAAAGAAGAAGTAAATTTAACCACCTGCCAAAATAGGTTTTCTCTGTGATTTCATCTGAAAAATCTATCATTTGAATTTAGGCTGCGAGACACACTATCTGAGCAGAACACAGCAGCTAGTCTGCAGATGATAAGCACAAAAAAGTGAGAGAATGTCTTATTACAGCTTGATAAGAGCTTTGCAAACTATTTTGACTTTTGTACGTTACATTTACACTGACATATCAGCCTCCCCAATTGGAGCCATGATTGGCAAGTGGTTTATGTTTATCAAGATTGCGGTAGGCTTTTTTTATTTCTCTGCAATAGAAGCAACCCCATGTAACTGTGGAAAGCTGACAAAACAGTAGTATTCTGATTACTGCTCTATCTTTCAGGAACACACGCTAGCGAATTGTGAAACCTCGAGGCAGTTACACCTTTTTTTTCTGTTTGCCCCACACCGTCAGAAGATAATTTGTGAAATGTGTCACTTGGGTCAGACTTTAAAAAAGGTTTACTATGGCAGTGGCCTGGGGTCCTCCAGGCTAAGGGAATGCAAAGAAGACATAACAATTTCTTAACAATTTTAATAACAAAGTCTTTTTTCATAGTGTGTTCTCTTATTTTCCTAAAGTACAACAGTTAGACATTGATTACAAAAATCTCAAACTCTACACCAGCCTCAAACAATTCATGCATAACAGCTTTAAGTGCCCTTCATTTTTTTATCTAATCAGATCTAATTCAGTCAGACTTCATACCTTTGCATCGCATTTTTAATCCTCTCTTAGTTCCTCTTCTTGTAAATCAATTTCAGATCTAACTGCTTACACCTTTATCAATTCATTTTTGTTTTTTACGAAGTATAGACACAGATAATGTTAAAAAATGTAATCTCTGAAAGATTTTTTTTCTTTACTTAGAAGTATCTTACAAGATATTTGTAAGACACATATTATTCATTTTTGAATGGTTCTGATTCATAAATATGACATTTTATGGTCTGTAACCGTCAGCTCCAACTGGTAGACATTAAAGTAATTACTGGAGTCACATAACTTTTGTTGTCAAAGGGGATATCTCATCTTGATATCTTTTTAACTTAATCTTTACAAAACCTAAAGTCCAAAAGATTTGGATGAAATCTATATCTATATTTGTGATTCTTAATCTTATCTACACTTGTGCTGGGGAAGATTCTCAGTCATTCAGGTCATAGTCATTCCAAAAATGTTCAAAACAATACACTGGACTTTTTTTTCAAGTTTGAAGACATTTTGCTTCCTATTCCATCGGAAACAAAGTCCAGTGGATTGTTTTTAACTTCTTTGGAACTCATCTATACTTTAGGGTGTTTTATCATTTAAGTAATATCCTAAATAACCAATTAGTAATGGTCACAATTCAGTCTTTAAATTTTCATGTAAAAGAAAAATGCCAGAAAGCTTAAACAAACACTCTTTAGGGAGAAACACATAAAGAAGTTATACATTTTTTGTTACAGAATAGTTAAATATACAGAGACCAATCATGAAATATAAAGACATCTCTATTTTAGGTTACATTTCTAAATCAGACACCAGATGGGAATATCCATTGGCTCGATAATGGCCTGATATGTGCAGAGCAACTGTGGAAAAAAAGTGGTCCCTATAGGATCCAAGATGTATTTCTCATGTTGAAATTATTATTATTTTTTTACATATTGTTTGTTGGGTTCCCCAGGTAGGTCTCAAACATATCACATGGCCATCTAGTTTTGCAGAAATGTCTCAAATGTTGCTTACCCAAACAGGGGGCATGGCATGATACTTTTATAAGCCTGGGCTTATTTAGTACAACACACCAATTAAAATCTGTAAGGAATCCAGATGCTCCTAATCAGGTTATTGCCACTATACTGCTAAAGTAAAGCAGCAAACATTTTAAGTGTCAACAAACATTTGAGACTAAAGGCTGTCCACCAGAGGCAACATGAACATCATCTGAAACGAAGCTACAAAACGCTCAAACAGTCGTAGCTACACTGCAGCTTTGAAGCTAACTTACTGAGTTGGCATCATAACACATGAATCAGTGCTAGCAGGATGTCCCCAAGGCATTTTTTTTGTTTAAAACAATTTACAAAAATAGCAACAACACAATGACAGGAACATGTCCTCAAGTACATTCATGCATTTGTTACACGACCTCAATTGTGAAGTATTGTAGCTCAGCTACGTAAAGCAGTATGAATGATAAGAGAGATGGTAACTTAAATCCAAGTGTATCCCTTTAAAAAAAACACTGGATGTATTCATATATTCTATGGCTATCTAAGTTCATTCAGTTCAGTATTTATTTAAGCCAAAAAAAATGTATTAACCCTGAACTTCAAACC